TTACAGATGTTACAGATGTGTTCACAGATGGTCAACTAAGAACAGCACATGTGATGGGACAAGAACTAGAGGAATGTTACCGAATGAGTGTATGATGATACAATAAGCGGACGATAAATGATGGGGGGTAGAGAAGAACCGTGGCTACAGACCTTTGAAAGTAGTAGAAAGCATATAGTAACATTGTCCAAAAAGTGCCTACACAAACATCTTTAAACTCCTAGACGAATTTTTTTCGTAGTCAGATCAGAGGTCGTCGGCTAACACCCGTCCTTGAGCTTCGCATTATGGATAGGATTGAAAAGCCGCGTCTAAAACGCTATACTTTGATGTATCGCAATTATACTGATGACCGCTTTCTTACGACGACGCTCTTTCGTCACAATGTTGGGGAGTCCAACGGCAATTATTTCAAGATAAAATGCACGATATTAGTGCAGGAGAGAGAATTTCCCAGAGAAAATATTGGAGGCGTCCTGGATTTCCCAAAATAATGCTCAAATGAACATAAGTGTCCGCTCATAACTAAGGATGTTATGCTATACATACCGCACAACAAGAGGAATGCTTTGCCCCGTGTCCCTCGAGCAAAGGCAACCCTTCAGACTATCCTGAATTGCATTAGAGACGAGTGAAGACGTTACCGCTCGAGGGAACTGGTGATCATCAGAACAACATGAGACACCTCATGAGTCTCATTGGCTACCAATGGGGACAGCCGATTTGATTGCTCAAAAGGGGAAACTCGTTGGTACATTTTCGAGTGGTGAATAGTTTTAAGTTACTAAAACACAGATCAATCCGCTAGAAGAGGTAACGTGCTTGTTGATCAGTGTGAAGACCACCTCGAGCAGCATAGATGAAATCGAACACAACCTCATCTCGGCTAGATTTGCACATTTACCATTTTTATCGCAACACGAGAACGCGGCGTACGCCAAGAGCCGAGCTCTCATTCTTCGTTTCAAGATATCTATCGACAGCTTTTCAGAGTGCAGGAATTCTGTGCAAAACTTGCAATCTTCGTGATTCGGAAGAAGCCATTGTACAGGGTATTCCGAGGTCCAGACTCACTTGAACTCTAACACACTACGTTGAGGAGTTTGGTGCCGTTAGTGGAAGTGATTCTTGCGTGTCAGCTTTACAGATAGGAAAACGCGGCAGCTAGATAAGCGACACAAAGGTATGATACCTCTAGGATCTGAAAAGAAAATCAGAATAAGAAATTTAGCGAACGCAGAGAGAACAGCCATGAAAAGTTTGATCAACTACGACAACTCTACCTCCTGTGGTATACTTGAGCTTACCGAATCAGCAACTATTTCCTTCTGCAGTCGTTTTTTGATTTTTAGCTTTCTGTTTCCGTTCGTTCTATAGCACTTGTTGGAAGATACTGCACTCTGCTGTTGTCCTAGGTAGTACAAATACATTAGTCATCTACATCTACATAAAAACTCATTTTACCTAATACAAGGTTACAATACTTCTCAATTAAATTACTCAAAACATCTCAGAAACAGTATTAAGGCGAAGGCTCCGCTCTAGGGGTAGTTGTGCTGAAAAGGCAGCTTCCAGTCACTACCTATTTGTTGAAGTCTATTCTGGTGTAGTCTTCAACTTCTCTCATGTTCGGTATTCCTAAAATTTGGAAAAGCGTTGCTGAGCCTGTTGTTAATTGCAATAGGATGGACTAAAATCTCCATCTTTCCTATATAGTCATCTGCACTGAGGCAAATTCCATTATCATCTGACCAAGTAGCCTAATGAAGTTTTAAAGGCTTAGTTCAGGATAAAAATAGTTCCTGAGATTTCCTCATAGAGTGAACCTATAGCCCTGGAGGACAGCCCGTGAGACTTTGTAGGATTGAAAAATGATCTCAACAGAGCATTATAAGGACTGGCCGACCCATACATCTAAAAGTGGCCGTGTTATGATGTGTCCTGTTAAGTATGTACCATTCACATTGAAGCACGAGGACGCCGACGAATAGTGCGTTTGTGTGAGAGACACAAAGAAGGTTACAGAGACAATCTCGTACAATCCCTTTATTGCTACTTGTTTGAACCTTTTATTTCGTTAAATTTTTAGACTTTCACGCTTTCCTCTCCATTTTTACACTTTTCCGCATCATAACGTCTCAAGCTGAATATATGAATATTAGAATATCATGAACTATGCACTCGGAAGCCATATTCATCGGGACTTGGAAGAAAACGTAGAAGAGATC